CATATCTCATTGCTGACCCATATTGTTTGCCTTTAACTGCTATTCTAAGAACATCTTCACATGTAATGTCATTCAGGCAGGTAACCTGAACTCGTGTATGTGATTTCTATTTCCTAAGTGAAAAAGTGCACCTGTCTATATTTAATTTCATTCTGTAACTTTCAATTTATTTCTTTTAGGATTGGATTGTTTTAAATTTTCTTTCTGCTTTCTAGAGTATTAGCTAGGCCTCTCATTTTTGCATGAAATCTGATAAACATTCCCTCCCCCTCTTTATCCAAGTCATTAACATGTTGAAGAATATCAATAATAAAAATGTTCGATATTTCAATTTAATGAGAACTCACTAAACAACACAGATTTCCTGCAGTTTCAAGCCAGCTTTATCCATCAAGCAAAGAGGATATAGCTGAAACATTCTAGAATTTTTCTCCACTCAGCTATAACAGAAAAATACCCATTGATAGAAGTGTGTAATTTTCCTAAGAGAGTAATAGTATGAGAAAAGGATAAGAGGGGTTTCTTTTTTGCCGTATCACCCATGTAAAATATCACACTCAAATCATTTTTGTTACGGGTGATAATTAAGCCTGGTTCATTGTGAAAATGAGATCACATCAACCAGTCTTAGTCCCTAGTGATTATTCTCTCCCTAGCAACAGATGTTTCCTAGAAATGTTTTCAGTGTACAGATGTCTGAAAATATTTATGTAGTTCATACATATTATATTTTGTAAGATTTATTCTCCAGAATCTCCATCCTATGTGTAATTCAACATTTCCTTGCATATTCATATATGAAGTTTTCTAAAATTTTCAGCCAGTGGATATTTTCAGAATACATATAGAGCTTACGACAGAAGAATTGCATGATGGATTTGCTCGTTTGTGAAATGGCTAAAACTATAATTATAACCAGTTAAAAAACAATTCCAAATTATGCTAACAGAGATATATTCTTACTCAAGAAACAGCTGAAGTGAGGGCTTCAAAATAATGATCTTTTGAATCTAGTTTTTCACTTTTAATTTTTTGTAAGAAAAAATAAATCTAAAATCAAACTGATGAAGTTCAAAGACAAGCAAAACCTTACCCAAGGAGAAAATAACACATAGGCAAATATATTTCATTATGAATAAAAGCAGGCAGACAAAAAATAGACTACACCAAAACAAAACCAACAAAACCAGCCAAAAACTAAAACACAAGACTGGCAAAATGAGAGCCAGTTTGTTCTAGTGGTTAACGCACCAGGCTAGAAAACAGGAGACCCTGAGCTCAAGTCCCATCTTAGCCATAAAAGCTAGCTGGGTGACTTTGGACCAGTCACTTGCTCTCAGCCCAACCCATCTCACAGAATTATTCTTGTGAGGAAAATAGGAAGAGGAAGGAGTCCTATGTATGTTTGCTGCCTTAAGTTACTTATAAAAATAAGTGGGGAAGGAATGAATGAGACATGAATAAAACAATGTCTTCTTCCCACATCCTCACCCTTTATTTTTCAAGATTTATCTGGGGTCCATGGAAATCCCAGAGGTGTTCCTGAAAATATGGCACAGGACACTGGCAGATCCACCATACATTTCCCTGTCCTAGATTACAAATAAACCTATAAATAATATATATTCATAAATGACTGGGAATCTGATGGGTACCAATGAAGATATCTTTGCATATAAATACTTCTAGCATAAAATTCTGTAGCATAAAATCATGCATTAGTGCTTAATAAGGATTTTTTCCCCAAACTGGAGTCTGGTGTGTCTCTCCAATAATTTACATTTGCATGGGATTATATTAAATCTTACTCTACTGGGCCTGGAATCAGATTTATTTTTAATTTTATTTATCTATTGATGCCTTATGTTTCTCTCTTTTTACATATTTGGGTGTTTGTATGTATACGTATGTATATGTACACACACACAGACATACATAATTGTCACAAAAGTAACAATAATTACACACTAGATTTAGAGAAACAATATACATACAGCACATATGCGCAGACACGCGTGCGCGCACACAAACACACACACACACACACACAGAGGGGTGTCTTCAGTCCTAGTCTTGATACCTTCTCAGATGTTCTTCATGGATTCATGATTAAATATCAAGAGAGACAAGCTACAAAACTATGATGCTTTGGATATTAACATCCCTTCACCCTCTGGCTGTTCTGACTCAGCAGAACGAAGAAACAGACTTTTTGTTCCGAAAAATCCCTTTATTTAGCTCTTGTGAATTACTGGCATGAAAAGTCCAGGCAATAATTCTTCAAAGGGTTAATTGAAGTAACAGACCGTATCAGTTCCTTGGGATACTTGTCAGGCCCAGAGCTTCCAGTTGCAAAGCTGTAAATTAAGTTCTAGCAAGCAGTCTCTGAGGCATGAACCACGATTAGCAAATCTTCCAAAAGAAATACGAACGGTTGCCTCCTGCAACCACCCCTCCCCTTTCCTCATATTTATTCCCCAGCCAGGGAGGGGCCATTCAGCATTTCTTCCTGAGTCGGCTCCTTGTCCTCAGTTGTTCTTGTCTCCTACCAGCTTTGCACATGCATGCATCTGGAACAGGCCCCAGCTGTTCATCCTCCCCACTTATCTCCGACTCCAAAGGCAGCTGGGAAATGTCAGATGGCCCTGGCTCTATCTCTGCTTCTGACGCAGAGCATCCATCAGAACCTTCCTTCCCCAGACTCTAGGAGTGGCCCATGTTCCTTCCAACCTCTCATCGTCCGAGTCTGCCACCAACTCTGCTGGCACTGGCATTCAAACACTGGCATTCAAAGGGGCATAACATGTATAGTATACTCAGATTTTCTGAACTTGTGATGTATAATGTTAGAAGCAGATCGCAGGTTTTGCATGTTAGAAAATTACTTATGGAAATGGAAACAGCAAATAAAAACACAGTTTAGCAATTTTATATCAACATAGAAAATAATGTATAATTTTACTAGATTTCTGGGTATGATTTTGGGCTACAATGTTCTTAAATTCGGTATTATTGTTGGGCTTAATGTTTTAATGTTACTGTTGCCATTTTTATGTTATGGTTAACAATTGTTTTAAAATATATTATTGTAACTATATACCATACTAAAATAACTTCCCCCCCTTTATTTTTTTTACTGTAAAAGTCATCCTCAAAAAAATCCAAAATTTAAAAGTGAAGCTGCAGAACTAAAAATCCTGGGATTATTTTAAAAAAAAATCAGGTGAGAAATAAAATTACTGCAGGAAAGTATTTATTTATAGCATACTGTCTTTGCTGAAAATATTCAGCAGTCATTTTATCTACAAAAAATAAAATAAAAACAAAAATAAAAACATCCCTCTAGCATTGGCATGATTTTTTAACAACTTTGCTGTTGGTTGAAAACATTACATTTTTCCAAGCCTAAATGCCAAATCCATTTTATTTGCAGTCATTCTGCTGAGATTCATCACATAGATCTGTTTTAGGGAAGCAGTTCTACAAAGATACATTTGAAGGCAAGCCAGATGAAAGAGATCTCTCTGTTATGCAGAGAATCTGTAGCTGCCAAGAGCTCTCCATAGTGCTACTTCCTTTTATGGACAATGAGGCAAGGCAGCAGTACCATGGAGAGTCCTTGAAGCACGTGGGCATACATACGCACAGGCTTAAAAAGTATGCTTCAGAATCAGCTCTATTCCTCAATGGGAATAGACGGTGGTGCCATGAAGTATATGCTGCAAATAGCGGATGGCAAAACATCCGAGTTCTATTACCTACTATGAAACTGCAAACAAAAGAAAAACACAAGTACATCAAACATCAAAAGCTGTACATAGTCTGAAGCTCGCTCAGATTTGCGGTTTTGCTCCGAGGCTTCTTAAAGTCTTATAAAATCAAAGCTTTAATACAGTCAAAATGAATTTGACTCTTAAATTTAAGAGCGGGATTCTATATAAAAGAATCACACTGCTTTCACATTTGTTTTTCAGTGTAAAAATATTGACACATCCTACAAGGTATATCTCCTCCCTATGGAAAAAGAAAAGTATATGTAGGACACAGCAAGGATCAAATGCCACTGAAACCAGCAGCATGTTTAAATAGAGATGGGGACTGCTTCTCAGAATGCGAATGTTATTTAATTGAATAATTTTAATCTTGAACCCGTTCATAAAATATATAATACGCAAAGGGTTTGCGGTCCAAGAACGAACGCCATACAATGTTAAGAAGCTACACCAAGCTTAGATAAGTATACCTGACAGTCAAAGCGCACGTATTCATTCACACGCCCACAACCTACACCGGGCATAAAAGTAGGCCAAAAGACGGCTCGCACTTATTTTATAAATACCGCACGCGCGAATTCGACCTCCACGCATTATTCCGAACGAAGCCCCCCCCCCCACACAACGCTTCGCCTCGCTTCGCCACAGCCACGCAGACACAATGAAGCCACTGCTGCGTCACGGATGCTCGAGAAGGCGCGCGCGCGCGCGCACACAGGGATTTTCTACGCTCGCCAGGGCTTCGACGGGCACCCGCAGCAAAACCCGGCCAGTGTTTACCTTACAACCGCGCATAGGTGACCTCTAGAAAACCGGCGACCTCAATCTCAGCCGTCGGGAAGCTCAAGAGGCAGCGTCCCAGGCAGCCACCAAGCCGGCGCGCCCGCTGTGTTTTTACAAGCACTGGAGGGTTGGCGCCCACCCACCTATCGCTCCCTCCGCCAAGCACACGCGGGGCTGTGCCACAGGGACGCCCGCACCGCAGTCAGCGGGTGGGAGCGCGCCTGCTCTCCCTTCGCGCCGCCGTTCCTCCCTCGCCCGCCCTGCCGCTGCCGTCTCGCCCTCCGGCTCTGCAGCTCTTACGGCTGCCGGGGCCCATCCCGCCCGCAGCCTTGCAAGGGCGGGCCGCAAACCCTCCGCCGGCTCAAGCGCCGCTGTTGGTCTCGCTAGCGCCACCAACCTTCCCCTCTCCTCCCCAGGCCTACCGGCACCATCCCGCTCTCCTACCTGCGGTCCAGGATGCCGGTCGGGGCCTGCGGGCCTCGCTCCCGCCGCCCGCGACGCTGAGCAGGCGAAAGAGCAAGCGAGAGGCAAGCGGCAACCCCTCCCCGCTCTCTTATTTTGCCGGCTTGGGGCGGGGATTGTAGTTGGCGTGGCGAGGCGGAGAGCCGCTCCTCCTGCCGCGGTCCCGCCCACCGGTGCCCCTGTTAAGGCCCTGCCTTATTTCCCAGCCTGGCTCTAAGCGTGGGAAATGCGGAGCGCGTAAACTTGTTTTTGCCTTCTCCTAACAGCGCTTTCTCACCCCCCCGCACCCGTCCCTGCTCCCTTGGTGGCCGCCGCCGCCGCCGCCTTTCGCGCGTTTTTGTTCGGTCAGAGCTGATAGAATTCGTGAAGTCATAAAAGGAGGAAAAGAAGGTTCCGGGCACGTGACTTTTTCTCCTTATCTCAACGCAGGACATTCTTAGTTAGAAATAAAGTCCATACGTTCTCGGGCACCTATAGGCCTCCGTGAGGGTGTAAGCTTTCTTTCATGAAATCTGGGACTACGATAAAGATGACAAGATGTTATGACATCCGTTTGCTGCTCAGCAGGTGGCTGACTAGCCCTGTTAGTACTTGGATGGGAAACTTCTAGGGCAATTGGTGGTTGGGGAATTCTGGGAGTTGAAGTCTAGGCATTTTAAAAGTTTCCAAGTTTGAGAAATATTTAAAGAATATCAGGGCTGGTGGATTTAGCTGTAAAATTGAAAACACCCTGGAGGAACACACGATTTGTTGTTTTTCCTGTTAAGAAAGATGGCTGGACAGGTCAATAAAGTCACCAGGATTCAAAGTCAACTCTTCCCCTTTAGAACAATGCTTCCCAAACCTGAGTAAATTGCCCATAATTGGGTAAAAGTGTTTTTTTCCTCCTTTGGGTAATAACCCATTACCCACATGAGGGATATTTTAATTGACTTAAAAGATTGCCAGATTTACTATATCCAAAACTCTTCCAAATTATTCCTATTCAGACAAAAAATGACCAATGGGTATTTTGTTGAAATGACATGATCAGTCAGGTTTTTTAATAATGCAGGTAGTTCTTGAGTTATGATTATTTAGCTATGTTAATGCTGAACAAAGGGAGATATGACCTTGAAATTTGGTAACTTTCTGATAAGCTGTTTTGGGTAATGAGGGGAAATGTTTTGGAAGCACTACCTCAGAAGTTTCCCTCTTTTTTGAACTGAAAGTTGACAGTTTTGAAAATCTTGATATTGAAGGAATTATTTCAATATTTTTAACCTTTATTTTATTGTACTTCCAATCATCATGGATTTTCTGGATTTAACTACATGTTCCTATGCCTTGTCCCAAAGGTGCTTTTTCAGGAGACAACTGGACTTTCTTGTGTTTTCTTTTTAAGACGTTTCACTTCTCATCCAAGCTTCTTCAGCTCTGACAGAATAGTGGGGAATGTACAGCACTGATAGAATAGTACAGATTTAGCTATACAATTTGGGATGAACACCCTTGGAATGGTATGGGAGTAGGAATGGATTTCAAGAGAAATTGCAGACTACAGGAACCAGGAGGACTACTCGGGACCCTGAGGACACAGATAACCTCCAAGTACTTCAACAACCCTCAAAAAGGATGCAAATGACCAGCTGTCTGCAAGGAATATAAATCCTTCCATTCCCCACTAGCCTGTCAGAGCTGAAGCAGCTTCTTGGATGAGAAGCGAAACATCTTCAAAAGAAAAAAAAGTCCAGCTGCCTTCTGAAAAAGCACCTTTGGGACAACCATGACATCAATTACAGGCCTCTCTCATCTTTTTAAGTGGGAGAACTTGCACAATTGGTGGCTGACTAAATACTTTTTTGCCCCACTGTATATTACTTTTACTTCTAATAAGACTTAAAGATTAAGTCTTAATCTTTAATTCAATCAAATATCTTCTTTAGCTCATTGAACAGATTTCTTCAAGGTTTAACAAGCTACTTTTATAGATTCAGTATGAAAACATTTTACAGGTCATTCTCTAGGTGTATTATTTGTATTTCCCTTTTAATTTTTAAAACTGAAGCCAGTTTCTTTTGTATATCTAGCAAAGCATCCTTTTCAAAATCATTCTCTTGGCCAGACATTGGTAGTACCACATTCTGTACTTTGTCTTGTCAGATAAAATTTGTTCTATATCTGTTATTTCATTTACATCTTTTAAAAATAACCCATTCATAGAAACTGATACTGTTGCTGAGTGTTGATACTGTGGTTCTAGCTACATTCTTCAAAGATCTCCTTTAATATTTCTGATACTACAGTGTTTTGTATCATTCTGTAAATCCCAGTGTTAACTGATATCAGGCTTGTATTTATTTTTCTTCTGCTTTAAATCTTTAGTTCCCATTAGCACTGTTTCTAAAATCATCACTTATCTTTTCTAAACAATTTATGTGATCTTGATATTATCTTTCTGTTGATGCAGCCTAGGACTGCACTGAATTTTATGGGCAGCCCAGGACATTGCTGGCTCATATTTAAGTGGTTGTCTACTAGCTAGAACACCTAGTTCCCTCAGAGTTACTGCTATTGAGCCTGATACCATACCTGTGCATTTAGTTTTTCTTGCCTAACTTTTTCTCACCACTAAATTGCATTTTGTTGGGTAGTGCCCGGTTTTGTCAAGATCCTTCTGCATCTTGAGTTTATATTCTAAAGTTTTGCTATTTTCCCCAGCTTGGTATTGTCTGCAAATTTGATATATAACCTCATCTAAATTATTTATGAAAATGTTGAAGAATACTGGCCTAAGACAGAACCTTAGGATATTCCACTACATGCTACATTAGATGTAGCTCCATTGAGGACTGTTGAGCATGTTGATCATCTAGTTGCAAATCTGGTGGTGATGCTGTCTGTCCCATATTTTTCTATCTTACATAGAAATGGGCTATGGTCTACTTGGTCAAATACTTACTGAAGTCTAGTAAACTATGTCCACAGTATTTCCTTGAGTCACTAATTTAGTCACTTTGTCAAATAATGCAATAAGGTTTGCCTGGCATGATCTATTTTTAACAGATGTTGACTTCTAGTAAATAATAAACCCCCAAACAACTGAAAAACTACTTGAACACCATCAACATTGACAATATCATCAGTCAATTGCAAAAGGCAGCTTTGCTTGGAATAGCTTACATCCTGTGACTATATCTTTAATAGTATTAAATAACAAATCTGCCTATCCCAGGTTCTTGGGAAGCACAAAATAGGTGAATAAAAATATCAAATCCTATGTAAACATTTGGCAATATTTACTATGTTTATTATGCAAACCACCATAATAATGAACCATGATTTAAATAATTGTGACAGATGTCTCAGACAAGTTCTAAAGTGCATTCTTTGCCCGATGACTTTATGACACAAGGTAATGTATCATTCTGACATAATGATTTGTTGTGGACACTATTATCTTCTTGCTTGATAATTTATTATATTGCAATATATAATTATATGTGAAATAGCAAATAAATGCAGCAAAATGAGTAATGTTACATTTGTCCTATTTTGAACTTTTTGAAAAGAATTTCATATTTAAACAAAAATCTGATGCAATACACAATTATGGCATGTAATTTATGAATGCTGAATAGCAATGCTATATATTGCACATATGTTATTCTTCTACCAGTTGCTATTTTTAAAAGAGATCATTCACTGCTTTTTTACAATTATACTTTTTTGCTTTATCTAATTCATTTCTTAACTTGGGCTGATTTCTAGAAAAATAGGTCAAGCCAAACTCAGATGGATTATTGTTTGAGCAGACTATGTTTCCATTCAATTTTTTAAGATGCTTATTACAATCTTTGGCAAATAAAAATGCCAGCTTTCATAGTTACTTTGGGGTCGTGAAAATTGAGAATATCTACTCAATATTATTAAACTTCATAAAAAAATAATGAAAAATAGAGATTTAGAAACATTTTATAAATTGTGATTGGCATTTAGAAATTTATTTTTATTTGCAATTCTATAGTTAATTTGCAAAACCAGGGCTCTTGTATTGGCAGATGATTTTCCCTCTGCCCTTTTTACTATCTTGGGTGAAGCCATTGCTTGCAACTAGCCAGATTCTTTCTAGTCTTCTGAGGTTTGGGGCCTTGGGTGGAGTTTGTCTCTATGGGTTTTCACACTCCAAATAAGAACTGACACTTGTCATGCACACTTACTTCTCTTCTCTCTTTTCGCTCCAGCTTCTCCTTCCACTGCAGCAATAAACCTTTATTCTCCACTCATTTTCTCTTTTTCCAATTTTGGGTTACTCCGGCAGCTTGTCCTGCAACTACTGAGGAGGTACATATCTTCCCAGGCAATAGTTTTTAACACTTATATACCAATGGGATTGCTCACTCAAAATCTCCCCTTCCTGTCCCTGGCTAACAGCCAGGTCAGCTCATCCATAACAGCCCAGCTATCCTTCAAGAACACATTTAAGCTGGGTGGCGGGGTGTGCGGGCGCAGCTCTACTTTTTCCTTCACCCCATGTCTGGCTCATACCAGCAAAACCCCAGTCACAACAGGCCTTAACATCCATACACCTAAACAGACCTAATCTCTTCTATGATTCCTATGCTTTTACAATTGTATAATGGATACCACTAATAATCTGTGGGATACTACGTTTACTAATCGTATCTTCCTGTCACACAAATCTAATGTATCGTAATTATATTCTTTGAACTAAATTTAAAAAATGAGATTCTTTACTGGTCAGAAATACAGTCCTATGAACAATTTAGCATCCCATCTTTGAAGATTATACAGTATATCTTATAGTGTCTGAGTTGAGGATGTGGAAACTCACAATCTACTGGTATTCCAGGCAGCAATAATTCTCATAACAGTATAAACAAAAAATATATACCTGTTCCATTATGATGTCATGGTATTACTTATGCCTCTGTAAATTAAAAGGTATGTTTCATTAATAGTTTCAATCATTAATGTAGCTATTGAGCATTTTCTTTAAAGCTGTTTCAAAATGTCACCAAAATATAGAATAAGGTAGTATAAAATTTGGTACAAACCTATTAATGGCTTTAATTCTATTGCAGTGAGCTAAAGTAATAAAGTAACAGTGATGAGCAAAGGTGGCTGTAATCTAAAATGAGATTGACTTAAAATTGGAATTTCTTTTTCTGAGAAAATTTAAATTTAGTCTATTTTGTGTTGCTAGCAATGGAACTACAGAGCACAGAAAGAAACTTAAAAATATTTGATGTTGATTAATGAATGGGTTAGACATTCCAATGTTGAAATACTTTATCTATGATATAGTCCTTTTTTACCATTAAAAATTTATTAATTTTTTACAAAGCATAAAATACAAAAATATAAAGAGAGATGAAAGTAAAATAGGGGAGGAAAAGGGAAAGAGAAAAGTGTAGGATAGAGTCTTTACATTCTTGTGGGAAGATCCACATTAGGGATAGAGCAAGAACCATCTGTTTACAATTACAGATTTAAAGGAGACCATTCAACATTGTTAATCTAACTCCCTTGTCATTAACAACATCAATGCGAACAATCCCAATAGGTCACTGCCTAAGCTTTGCTTGAACAGATCCAGGGAACAGAACCCACAACTACTTGATTAATTGGATCTATTGTTAAACTGCTCTAACTGTTAGGAAATGGTGTTCTAATAATCAATCTGCCTTCCTATAATTTCCATCCATTACTCTGTGTTTGGCACTCTTATGTAATAGTAAACAAGTTTTGATCTACAGTATCGCATTCTTTCAGATAGTTGAAGAACAGGATATCCTGAAAAACATTCAGAATATTACATGTATCTGTCAATTAAAACAGATTATCCCTCTTACATTTTGCATTATGGCTCAGAATGACGTGTGCCCTTTATTTATTTATACTCACGCATAAATGTATACCAAAGTGTCATATTATTTTGATAACAATACAGAGCAGCTGTTTTCAACACACTATTATTGAAGGAAAAGGAATGGCAGAATCAAAAGAATCAGCCTAGCGACTCTACATAGCCACAAACGGAGTAAGTTCTGAACCTCTTGAATTCTGTTTATCCAGCACTGTGAAGATCATATTGCATGGATTGATCATAAAGTTACTATTTTATCACTGTTGTGACTGAATAGTTGCTAAATGAGATAGTTGCTAAATAAGAACTACCTGTAATGATAGCTCTTATACTTTATATTTACTTAAGACTGTAGTTCTGTATTCAGTCTCTTAGGAATATTTGTCAAATAGGACAAAAAATCATGTTAAAGATCAAGTAGAATGGATGCTGCTTTTTTGCGGACTCTTTTATTTAAGAGCACATTGAATTTTTATGCCAAAGCTTTGGTTGACTGGAATGTTACACATAATTAAACAACATTTTGTATAGAAAAACAGAATATAACATATACATTCATAGATGAGCAAGACAAACATTGTCCATATTAAAACCTGTATTTTAGAAGATGAAATGCAATGAGAATTGTGAACTCATCATATATTTGGTATCTTAATTAATAATTGCTTATATAATCCCATATAATATGCACAGCAATGCCATGGCAAGCTTTATAAGCAATTACACTTTTATGGTAAATTACTGAATGAGAAGTATTTTTATTCTTATAAAGGCACTGAAACCAGGCCTCTTGCAGTATAAATATTGCCATTCCTAAATTACAGAGTTACTGCAAAGACTGAAAATATTCAATAATTGAACATGACATAAGGGAAGTCAAAAGACAACTAATATATAGATGTTGACATGCCTGAATATTTTTTTAAAAGCAGAGTTCCAGTTTTGGGATGTCTGATAACGCTGATTATCTTTAAACATTGTCCACCAGTATGCATTAATAAAAAATCAATGATATGCCTATTTTCTATATGGGGTTATGCCCATACATTCAATGATGAAACAGTAATTTCATAAAATTGGTTTTGTTGCAACTTCTTTTCATTTGAAAACACGACAAATGACAGCATGTACAGATATATAAAATTACAATCATGAATGTAAACAGACCAGCTGTTTCTGCTTTTATAAAGCCCTGTTATCCTTCTATAGGACTATACTTTTAAACAGTATTCTGCAGAAACCTATGTGGCAAATATTTTTTTTTTTTTTTTAAAAAGAATCTTTGGATAGTATGTAAACAGGAAATAAATTCATAAATAATGCAATCAAAATTAATTCATGCCTATACTAAAGCATAGGTTAGAATAATCTTGCCCAAATTCCAGATATTGATGTAAACAAAGAATGTGGTAAATCATGTATATACTGTCCATAACTGATTCCCAAAATGTCTCATATCCAAGTAGGAAAAAGTAAGAGGTACTTCTACACCAAGACTGACTGACTGAGGTGTCATCTTAGGGCAAGATACTAATTTATATGACTTTTTGGACAATACCCTATTTAATTACTACTGTGAAATCTCATTAGAGGTACCTCGATATAATAGGAAAGACATGATGCTTCCAGAAGCCATATTTAAATTGAAACATGGAGAAAGATTACAGTCTAAACCTTTCACTTGACAGATGAATGACTATACAGAATAGAGAAAAGACCAAGATTTTGTTCCTTATACAACTGCTGCTGACAGAGAAAATAATTGGCATAGAGTGAGAATGAGTTTTTAACTTAGTAGTGAGCATGCATGAAATAGAAATAAAATATTTTGCTATGAAACCATTAGCTCTGCTATATTAGCATTAAAAATGTTCTCTTTTTAATTTGGTTTTTGGTGGCCCTGACTAGTCAAGTTAGAATAAATCTTCAGTGAGGCTGATCTGTGAACTGAAACCAAATTTAACTTTTAACGATACAATTGTACAATATTATATAGATGCTATTAGTGCTTATATGACTCAAAATATATGACACATTAGCTTTAGAGTATTAATTTCTACAGCAGGTTGTTCAATTTTCTTTGCATTTTCCAAGTCCCAGAATCTAAACAGTTTTCATCTATAAGTCAAACAACATGCAGGAGTACTAGAAATAAAGTATAAATTACTAAATTCTAGTTTAGGGATCAGTATTCAGAAAAGTAGCCATTAATCAGAGCCATGTTAATATTTCTTGGTAATGAAAAAAGGCCTACTGTAAACTTTTAAAAGGCCTATTGTAAATCTATCCCCAAATAACAGCCTTTCATAAATCTTTGTCTCTTCTCCCTTTCTGCAATACAATACAATACTATACAATGGTAGGCAGTTTTGGTTTTGCATTGTGCGCATATTTTAGACAACAATGATGGAAATACTTTGTGCAGTTTTTACATTTAAGATATCAGTACCTTAAAATTATAAGTGTAAACTTTGTTGCTTTTTATATTTTAGAAAGGAAGTCACCTTCAACCTGAAAATATACAACTTATGCATTCCAGAAGTTATTTTATATACAATGAAACACTCTGTGTGGCAAATGTGATTTCAATAACTGCCTTTTTCTGTAAGGATTTGTTTGTTATAGAAGAGGCAATGAAGTGTTCCTTCAAGTTTTGACTGAAGTGCTTAATTCCTTTTCAGAAAGCATTTCACTACTAACATCACACTACTATTATTTAAATCCTTTTTGTCTTCTAATGGTACAATCAAATATCAGGAACTGAAGAGCAAGTGGCATCTGTACAGAAACAAAATACTATTTCAGTCAAATTTTAAGCTAAATTCATAACGCCTCATTTTGAGTTCAAAATAATTTCTACAAATGAGTTCAAAAATTTCTATAATACCCAGTCCATTGAAATTTGCACTGTACTGTAAATAACTGGGTTTAAATTCAGTATGGTGCTTTGTACACCATTAAAATACACGCTTATGTTTTGTGAACAAAACTAAATCAGAACAGCTGAAAGTCCTCTTAAGGCTTAAAACTAAGCTCCTTGCCAAACATGACTAGATCAAGAGTTTACTCACATTTTTCAATTATTTATATGTGTACTTATCCACTTCTTCGAATCACTCTTAAAACTAAAACCTCTGGATATGTGTTTTATACCACATATCAATTTAAAAATTGATAATCCTCCGCTGTTTACAAAATTGGCTTCACATATGGCTTTTAATCTGAACTTGCAATATTTAATGGAATTCCAAGAAAGGAAAGGGGATAGAAGCAAACTGAACAGTTTTGGCAAACGATAGGTAGTAAGAAAGTCAAGATACTATGAGCCACAATGTCACAAAATAGTTGAAAGTCACAAAATACTTTCAACTATAGTCACTTAAATCAAGATCTGAAAGATATGGGGGAACACTACATCTGGAACATTCAAAACAAGTAAAAGACCCTGAAAATGTGCTGAGCTTCATATTAAACATGATTATTATATAGTGCTGTAAAGGGCATCTCTTTTTTCAGTTTTTTCAAGTCACTGGTGCAAGCAAAAAAATGGTACAGTATTTCACTTCCATAGGTCAAACTATTTTTTCCATGTGTGTATTAACTGACTAAGCACAATTATAAACACAGATAGTCCTTGCTAAGTCCTTGCTTAACAAACATTTGTTCAATGATCATTCAAAATTATGATGCTCCTGAACAGAGACTTGCAACCCATGCAATTATAGCTGTTGCAGTGTGTGGTCACATGAATGCAATCTAGGTGCTGGCAAGCTTATAACAGATTGTCAAGTGCCGCACAATCATGTGATCGCCATTTGAAATCTTTCCTGCTGTCTTCCCTAGAAAGTCAATGGGAAGCCAGCAGGGAGGTCCCAAGGACTCCCTCTGGTTTCTGGGGGGCTGGAAATGGTCTATCCCAAAATCCATTGCAGCATGGGGTGTTTGCTGCCAGCCCCCAGAAACAAAAGGTAATGGGGGCTGGCTGCAAAGGCCCCATACTGCAAACATTCCATGCCAAAATCCTACTTGGATTTAAGGATGGACCATTTTCAGTCAATCCTTGCAGACGAGAACCTGTTTTTCTCTGCAGAACAATGCAGCATGATGTGTCTTCCGATCTTGGCTGCAAATACTCTGCAAACACTTATGCCAAAATTTTGCTGGGATTTTTGGATGGACCTTTTTCAGCCAGCCTCTCGAGAGCAAGGCAGAATTTCCCCAGTAGGCAGTTCTTTTGAGAGAAAAAGACTTGCCTATTGGACGGATGCAAGCCCATGTAGAGCATTATTTTTGCTCTGTCCACTTAATGATCTAGGAGATTGCTTAATGACCACAACCAGGACTGCCAGATGACCAATTGTTGAATAAACGAGTTGTGCTGCTTTGCTTAATGACTGTTTCACTTAATGATTGAAGATTGTGATCTCAATTGGGTCTATAAGTCGAGAACTACCTGCACTTATATGTCAGTTAAAGTCAAAAAGTGTTGCCTACTAATGAAACATTTCTCATCTTTTTAATTCAATATTGATCAACAAGTTTAATTAGATAAAACAGAAAATCAGGTTTGTAAAGATTTCAATTAGATTAAAATTATATAAATTTGATTGTTAAAAGAAAAGTATGACTAATTAGAATCTTATTGATAGACAAGTCGCACCATGTCTAATGTTTTTAAATTGTATTATTTAATAAAATTTATTTTTTTAAAAAAGCTTATTGATATGAGAACATGTAAACTTTTTCAAGCATTACTTACCTGAGGGCCTTCTCTCAACAGATCTCCGCCTTGCAGAGTCTTCAAACGTTGTTGGTTGGATTTTAGCAGGGGTATATGTATTTAAAGAACACTTTCTTTCTGTCATGGATTCAATAAATGATGGAGAACCTAAAAGATTAATGGGGGCAGGATAAGAAGTTCTGTAACAAAACCACATTATTTTTTTGAGCATTGCTACTAAGGAGAAATTTCCTAACAGTGAGAACAATCAACTAGGGGAATGGTTTGCCTTCAGAACTTGTGGGTGCCCCATCACTAGAGGCTTTCAAGAAGGGACTGGACAGCCATTTGTCTGAAACACTCTTCTGCTTGAGTAGGGGGCTGGACTAGATGACCTCCAAAGTCCCTTCCAACTCTAGTGATTCTATGTATGTAAATCTTTAGGAAATAAAATTACTCAACCGGACTTTGAGATGCCTCTTCTCTTTCAGTCCCTTAGATCATGAACCACACCACTGAAATGTTGGATAGATCATCTTTGGAATGGTAGTGGAAGTACACTTTCTGAAATTTTCAGTCATCAGTATGAGCAGCTGGATATTGTTCACTGTTGTATATTTAGGTGTAGGTTTACTCTTTTTAAAAAATTCATTAGATTTATCTCTTGTTCTTTCAGCATACATTATATATATTATCTTCTAGTGAGTTTCCAGGGAATGGAATCTGGGTCTTCTATTCTTGGTCTACACCTTACACCCTGTATATAGGTAGTCCTTGACTTATGACCATTCATACAGCGACTGTTCAAAATTACGACCAAATGGACTTACAACCCATGCCTGAAATTATGGCTGCTACAGGACCTCTACAGTTGTGAACAAAATTTAAGCGCTTGGCAATCCACAGACCACAGGGAAGCTTGCAGCACCCCCCCCCACCTATCTCCCCTCCACCGTCCCACCTGATAAAGCAGGCCTTGGGCCTGCTTCCCACCCAGCTAGGTCCCACACTTTCCACCCATTATGGATTGGTCACTCCCATTATGGATTGGTCACTCACTTTTTTTAAATAGCTCTCTGGCAAGCAGCCACTCTTCCATGGGACCTTTCTATACAGTGGAGATCATGTGACACCATCCTGAAAGTGGGTGTCATTTTGGAACAGCTACAATTCATTGTAGCCACTGCCAAAATGGCACTCACTTCCAGGCTGATGCCACATGGCCTCCACTGTTTAAGGAGGCCGGGTGGCAGAACAGCTGTTTACTGAAGATCTATCAAAAGATAAATGACTAATCTGTGATACGGGTGAGGAAGAGAGTGTGAGACTCAGCAGGTCAAAAAGCAGATCCAAGGCCTGAAGTGACTCAGGTGAGAAAGCAAGTCCAAGGCCTGTAAGAACTCAGTGTAGTGGGAAGCAGAGCATAGGGTGCTGCAGGAAGTGGTGAAGGCTTAGGACAGATCACATAAGAGCTGTGAAGATGCTGCAACTGGAACAGGGAGAACAGGGATTGGGTCATTAAGCAAGATGATCACATAGGTGTCTCACTTGACAACCATCACAACTTGCAACCGTAATAGGTAGACTCCATTACAGTTGTAAGTCAAGGACTACCTGTATTACAATATCACATAATTAGTACATGGAAAAGTTTGTAAATTCTGCTGGGTCTTCAGAGGTAGGTGAAGCTGATTTAAAAAATAATCTTGAACAAGAGAATGTTCAGAGGTGGAATAATGAAAGCAATTTAACTTTGGGGATCTTCAGTATTTGTAGAGGTGGAAATAACCTTTGTTATTATATATTATATTCTAAACATATAAATCTGACACTTGTATAGTATCGTTGCTAAGCAAGATTCAGCTGAGTTAATCTATCAAAATGCTAAAGCGAAGGAGAAATAAGAAATGCATATTTGTTTGGAAACTGTCTGTCATCCACTAAAGGACTGGCCATCAAAACCTGAGTTTTTCAACAAGCCTTAGGATGCAATATGTACTCCACATTGTTTGGAATCAAGTATTTTTAAATCTGTACAAACAAACAAGCAAATTAATACAATTGTAAGCTAGCCCCTTCTGTAATTGGAATTTCAGGACCTTAGACACTGTTTTGTACTGTATCTGTGTCTTAGATTCTGTTCTTCTAAACCTTAGATATATAAAGAGATATGTAAGCAACTCAAAGTGCTAATTCTGATATTTTAATGAATTGTTTACACTTAGCAATGTTTTGCAGTTTGAAAAATAGAACATATAGTAAATAATTACGAAATGAAGCTGTAGATGTATGTGGAAAATTTTCACACGAGGTTGAGGCTGTAATTGAGGCAAGAAATTCATCCACTTGCTTTAAAGACAAGGAGTTATGGAGAGTTTCTAGAGGACAAATTGAAGGCACCATGGAATATAATTCAAAGCCTAAAAAAGAAAAAAACCCACAGATTTTCACCATAAAAGTCCAGAAGCACTGAATTCTTTTTTGGATAGTAAAGTGATCTACAGAATTTTAAAGCTACAATAGGGAAAAAAACAACAACCCTAGGCCATGTGTAATGAAATACTTTTCAACACAGCAAACTTCTGATTTGACAAATCTTTGTTCTCATCAAAATTTTGCCTGATTCTACAATGTAAATTTTCAGAAATATTGCATGTCAAACATGAGAATAAAGAATGGCCAAAAATCACTCTGACTCTCACTCAAATATATAAATACATATAAATACACTGAATATACCAGTAAATACACTGACCACTTCACAAACTAAAGTAATACTTAGACCAGGTTATTTCACATGAAGCTCATAATTTTATATAAACTTAATAAAACATGCATTTTTAAATTAGGCAGCTATTTAACCATCACTAATACAGCTGTAGTTACAGTCACATATATATATGCATTTTAGCAGAAGCTCTATTTAAGAATTAATTAAGTTAATGATGCAATATATCCTAAGACTATTTCTATAACCAATAAAACTGCATTTCACACCCAAATAGGAAAATAATTTGAAAGTTTTTAAATTATACAATTCTGAGTTAAATTTTAAGAACGATCCTTTCATAAAACATCAACATGCAAGATTTAACATGTATTAAATATTACCTGCTTCATTAATTATACAAAAACTATTTTAGACAAAACTACAGGTATTCTAGTATTTAATGAGTAAGAAAACTTAACTAACAAATAAATATTTGATTGTGTGGGTATGTATACATACAGACATATATGAGAGATTTGAAGGAGTTTCATGAACTGATTGTGACAGTGCCCCACAAAATGATGTCCATATATTATATTGTTTAAAGAATGAAACTGAATTTCATTCAATTTAGATTGCCGAATTATTTTCAAGGCATTTGTTTCAAAAACAGGACTGTAACTGAAGTAGTTGTTCAAGGACACATTTAAAATGTAATATTAATGTTAACTCACAATCTCTCAATGATTTCAATACCACTTTTGCCTCCTTAATTTTTTAAACCTATAATATTTCATATGTAAAGTAATATTTATTAAAGATATTTGGGAATTTGGTTTAATCTTAGCAATTAAGTTTCTACGTATAATTCAAATTAATTGTATTCAATGCTTGGTAAAATAAACTACAACAGTATACATGCAACAAGCGCAAACCCTTTCTTTGCATTACAGTAAATTCCACAAGAACTGCAGCTTTTCTTTACCAGAGAAAAATCTATAAGCACAAGTAACTCCAGGATTACAAGAAGGAATTTTATAACAAACTATTTTTTTGTCTTAAAGAGACCATGCCTATCCAAATGCTTAAGATATCAGTACCTTGGAAAAAATGTATAGGAAAAATGTATTATAATTAGTGTGTCTCTGTGGCTATACAGTGGGAACTAAGTAGTCACACATATACTCAACCTTTAGCAATTCTATTATCTAATTATCAAATGCTTTTTAGATATTTCCTAAGAGGCTGTTTCTGTGAAAAAGAAAAAAAGAAAACTTTCTTCTTAAGTTTATGTCTTTAAAACAAGCCCAGCTTTAATTAAACAATAGTTCTAGAGTAATTTTTATTGCAATACATATCTGTATCTCAACATGGAAGACAATGAAAGGGTTAGCGCAGCAACAAAAAGCCACCCTACCATCTTACGTTTGAAAGCTATAAAGACATACCACTGGAGCCTAGAAATTCCTCAGAGGAAACCGACCAGCACCTATAGAGGTCTGGATGCTCTGCATAAGAGGCCCAGAAAATAAGGTAAAGCACTGTCAGTATGTACTGATTTCACCATATTTCTTGTACTCAAGATGAGAAAAGGGGAAAGACTGAAAAAAGGTTAGGGTTACCAAAGTTGAGAGCGGGGTGGGGGGTGGGGGGGGGAAGGCTCCAATGAAAAGATGAAGAAAAGACAATAAATCACACTTCTGTCCCTAAGAGTCACTATGAATGAATCGGAGAGTATCTTTAAGGTTCAAATAAATACCTAAAGCATGCAATAAATTATTAAAGATACTAAGAAACATATAAAATAGATCAGAGAAAGCTCTGTAATGTAGTTGTGCATAATATACAAAGTATATTAAGAACACAATTTAGGTGAAATGCATTTAGCTATTAAACAGAATTTTCTTAATTATGCAAATACCGGTATGTAATAGTTAACATTAAAAATCCAACTTTGTTGCTTTGCATGACTGCACTAAGCTTCTCTCTCTTTTTAGATAGTTTAATTTTAAGAGTTCAAACATGTTTTTAAATTTCCAAATTCATACAGTATTTATAATATATAGAAACTGTCTTTATAAATATTTTTCATAACTAAAGTAGATCTGTTATAGGTAGTCCTTGCTTTCTGACTGCTGTTTAACAACCATTTGAAGTTATGATGGACTCAAAAAGTTACAACTGTCTTCAAGTTACTATTGCTGCAACACTCTATGGTCACATGATCACAGTTCTGGTCAGTGGTGAAATCTAAAATTTGTTACTACCGGTTTTGTGGGCATGGGTTGGTAGGGTGGTGGGAATGTGACTAGGTGGGCGTGGCCTTTTTTTTTTTTTTTTTACTTTTAAAACCATTTTTTCTACAACCTCTTCGGGGAAGAGGTTGTAAAAAAATGCTTTCAAAAGGCTCTGACGATCCCAGCTGAGTTGCCTGATCAGCAGAGGCTTTTTTCTTTTAAAAGCCTCTGCTGATCAGGCAACTCAGCTGGGATCGTCAGAGGCTTTTAAAAGGAAAAAAGCCTCTGCCGATCAGGCAACTCAGCTTGGATCGTCAGAGGCTTTTAAAAGGAGAAAGGAGGTTGTAGAAAAAATGCTTTAAAAAGCCTTTGACGATCCCAGCTGAGCCGCGCGATCATCAGAGGCTTTTTTTTTAATTTTAAAAGCATTTTTTTTGAGCAAAGAGGTTGTAGAAAAAATGCTTTTAAAAATTAAAAAAAAAGAAAGCCTCTGATGATTGCATGGCTCAGCTGGGCATGGGGGGGGGGCAGGGATTTTTGCTACCAGTTCTCTGAACCATCCGCCTCCGTCGCTACTGGATCGGGCGATCCGGTCTGAACCGGGAGTATTTCAGGTGCTTGACAATTTACAACCTGGTACACTATTCTGTGGTCACACGATCACGTTTTACAACCTTTTTTTGCCATTTTCTGGCAAAAAACACCCATTGGATAAGCTTGGAGTTACAAACGTGATTTGCTTAACCACCATTTAATTTGTTTAACAACCACAGTGACTCACTTAACAATCATTGTAAAAACAGTCATAAAATCAAGTCCAGTCACATGGTGATTCGACTTCTGACCACAACGACTTCTGACAAAAATTCCAGGCTCAACTATTATCATAAGGCAAGTACTTCTTGCATTTCAGATTGTTTCTAATAATCAAATGTATCAAAGAGTTAACTGTAGTTCTGTAACTTCAGTATGAACCCACATTTCTTTTTACATATTGACGTTTCTTACTTAATACTACTGGAAAGTTTTGAATTATGGTTTGAGGGCAGCATTATTATTGTGGGGCAGTCAGTTCAGTTTCTGTAATAAAAGGATTGACTATGGCAAAGTTTGTGCAAATTGTTTCATATGGGAACAGAAAAAGGATGTTTTTCCACAACATCTAATTTTAACAACAAAACCAGTTTTGAATTTGTTCACAATCTTCACGGGAATGCAACTATATATTGATTAATATATATTGATTAAAAAAACCCTGGATTCACCATAATGAGAAAAAGATTGAAATAAGGGAAACAAGTTGTGTTATTGTTAGTACAGTGTACCGTTTTAACTTTTATTTTAATGCAATGCAGTTTCACGAAAGATGATTGATAGATTTCATTTTAAATGACAATTTAAATTAACAGAGTGCTCTTATTGATAGCTGTTAATGAAATTAAATAAACAGTACCCCAAGTTTAAAGGCAGTGTAGCTTGGGGTGCTAGAGACAAAAAGAAGTAGAAATGCCTTTTCTTTTTTGCCTTCTGCAATTCCCAACACCATTTGATGGTTGCTATTGGAAACAAAATGCTTAAGAAAATGCACTTTGACCTGATTTAGCAAGACATTTTTTTAATGCTGTGGTACAAAGGTTCAGATGAAAATATCTAATGCAGCAAGAAGGCAAAGAATATTATGAAGAGAGTCCAAGGAGCTTTAAGATCCGAATGTTTTTTAAAAAACATGTATTAAGATGTATTCATTGTGTCAGTCATTTGGATGAATGTGTATAATTAGATCTGAATTATTCTTTCATATTACTTCCCCAAAAGATTTGATATGTGAATTAAAAAAATGAAATTAATATATGAAAAGGGATTAATCAATTGCCATACCTAATAATTGGACAAATGTCTTATGTGCTTAAGATGGAATGTAGAAAGATAGTGGGATAATAATATCCATCCCATTTTGTGGAGGATGAAGCAAGGGAATATTTTTTTTTTTAAATAAAAGCAAAACATACCATTGGTTGGGTGTCGAGCAAATGTGATAGAAAACCTTTTAACAGCAGAACCACGTGTGGTGTCTGAGAAAGAGAAAAACAGGTACCTGAAATTCAAACCAGCTACCAGAAGAGGGACATTTCAAGAAAAGACAGGAAGGTGGGAAGAAGGGAAATAAAAAAAGGTTAGAATTAAGTGGCATGCAAAAGGTATTGAAAAAAGTGCACAGGCCAAATAGATTTAAAAATAACCTTTGCTTGATATTAACTAGGATTTTAATGGAGTGCATGGACTTAAAGGAGTAACTGCAAATTTGATGCACAAAATGATGCGTGATTGGCATTTGATGTTCAGGTAGTGACAGCAGAAAAAAAGGTGTATGTGTTTTTTATTCTCAAACATGTTAGGAAAATGTTGCAATACCATTCAAAATTTGGTGCTGTCATTTCCATTAACTGTCCAAAGCCTAAACTATAATTTAAAAATATTTATATTTTTTATTGTTTCATTCCTGATCAATTTCAAGAATTTCCAAAATATATTTTTCAAAACACTTTTGAAGTGATGCTTCGAAATGTTAATATTTTGTACAGATTGTATCTCTTAAAGCTTTTATTCAGAAGATGATATATTACAGAAGAACTGAAGAAACATTAACTTCAACCTAATGCTGAAAAGATAGGCAGTAAGATTCACTGTATTTAATAGTGACAAATAATAACCTACCCTTCTTCTCAGTCAAAAGATTTAGGCCTTTTTAAAAAGTGTTCCTCAGTGTGCAAGATAGTGGGCATGTGTAAATGTAAATGCATGTGCGAATGTGTGCACATACCATCTATGCAGCCAGAAGTAGTCAGCTTTTTACGATGAGTACGAGCATAATCCTGTAGATTGGGTGCACTTGAAGACCCCCCGAGCACTGAGGCGCTAAACAGGCTTGCACAGTGAGACCCTGATGGGAGTTAGAGAAAATACATACAAAAACCAGGTGTTCTTCTATTCACATTGGGATGCATGCAGCATGCAAGCATTTTGCTCTTACCACACAAAAGGCACCTTGTGGCATTGCCTTGGATAGATCTGCATTATGCTTGTAGCATCTTAGTGATATTTACAGTAATTTCCTATAATAATTTGTGTTTAAAGTTCTTTTTACCAAAGATAAGGCTGTCCTTAAATGAAGGATAAAACAAACTTGGCAAAGGAAAAAGGTGGCAGTGTAAAATAAAAAAGATTGGAATTATTAAAGTTAGATTTCAGAAACTGTACTTAAACTGGGAAAAAAAAATGAAGACAGAATTCTAGATGCAGAAGAACTGAACACATGTTCATATGCAAATTTTCCTGGAATTCTTAAGTATTTCTCAAACAATCTGCTTGTGGCTTACGTCCATTTGGGTCTTTGGTAGATGGATCCCATGAAATATGCCCAGTAGCTAAATTCAGTCTACTTGTATTGAAATATATTAATTTCAAATTAATATTGAAATTGTATAAACAACTGTGTTTTTGCTAATAATTAAAAAATCTTACTTATAAAAAGTAATATTGATATACAATTACAAGGTTATTTTTCTGTGGCATATCTATCACTAATTCACATTTAAAAGTTACAAAAGAGGCTACTGTAGATGCAATTTATTTTTTTCAACTATTGATAAAATGTGTTTCTCAATGGAACTTGTAACAGGATAAATTTCCTATTTAAAAACTGGTCTATATCATTTTAACCATATGCCCCTAACTGCAAGGAGTTGCAGTAGCTATTAATGACCTAACCAACATTACTAGCACCTGTGATGATGAAACTCATCCAGTGTTGAGTGCCACAGCTGTAGCAAAAATTTTTGAAGCAAAGTTATACCTTTACTTATACATATAAATAGATCAGGCGGTTTTTCTTTTACCCTGATAATGTGATATAGCATAGAGATGAAGATTGAAAATTAGAAAAAGTAAATTCCAAAAACCAAGAGCACCTGTTGCATATGCATTTTTCTAAGGAAATTTCTGATATGATTAATACCAAATAAAGGCTGCATTGAAGGAGTATAGAATTTAGCAGAGAAATTACAGAATTTTTAACCGGTTACGTGTCAAGTTATTTGACAATATTTATAATTTTGTATGTTCTGAAAGTGTTATACAAACTGGATAATCTATATCTAACAACACAAATCACTAACAATGCACTATTGACAAATATTAGGTTGTAGAAAGTGAATGCTGAGCCCGAAAACCCTCTACATTTGCTGTGTTAGACCAGTTTCACTGAGCTAGTTCTCATTCCCATTCAAAAGAGTGTATAAAAAGAGTTTTTAGCCTTGAAAACTGGTAACTTGTGATGACTTTTTCCTCTCTTCCTTCATCAACCCTTTTTGGTTTTGTGAAATCTTTTACTATAAATCTATAAAGCACAAATGGTTTTGTTGGCTTCTGATTTTATTGCAACCCATCCTGGAAATCATTTTAGATGAAGGAGGAGGCAATAATGCTTTCAATAATATTACCGATAATACAGTAAAGTATGATTTAATAAAGTATCCTTTTGCAGTACTATTTAGAAAACAGTATCTGGACTAAAATAAAATGTGCTATAAGACAGCAGTTACAATAGCTATCTATGTTTATACATTGAAAGCTGTAGTTGATGGAATTTGGGGTAGTGCAAAGAACTTTTACTATTGTTTTAAAAGAAAAGGGAAGATAGCAAATAAAAAAAATTAAAAGGAATGGCTTGATTTTCAAGAGCATCTTACTTGATACAAAGGAATATCAACCCAGTAATCTTCGTTTGTTTTTGTTATTGATCCAATAATCAGTTGGTATTAAAATTACTGTGATGCCAAATTGCAAACCTACAAGGTTATCCGAACAATATTAAAAACCAGGATACTTCCATTTCAAAGAATCAGGATTTTATTAGATGTACATACCTATAGTACTGGTCTTTTGTTCCACGATTGTTCTTGGAGGTCGAAAGAGACTATTATTTTCTGATGGTGCCTGGACATAAGAAAGAGATAAATAAGGAAAGCAGTCTAATGGGCTGGTTGAATCCATTAAACTTGAAACAGCCGCCTGCTAAGACAGACAAGTATTAAAAAGCCATACAATGGGTTAGTAGAAATACCAACATAATATGAAAGATCATGCAATTATTGCTGAAGGAGTTCCATTTCACTCATGAGATCCTTGCAATGAAGTGGTGCAAGCAGGCATTCATGATAAAACAGGACAGACACCAAGAAAATTATGAAAACATAGATAACTGTATCGTTTTAGTTTAGTTTACCAAATGAATACTCCTAAACTGCGCCTGTATTGGAAGGGGGGAAAAAAAGAGGAAATACAGACAGGCTGATGAAGTCACCATACAATCACTGAACCATATGCAGCCCTACCAGAATGAATTTCTGATGTTCAAAATTAACACTTATTCTCTACATCAACATATTTTAAACAGCCAAGAACAAACAGAAACAATGTAGTTTCTAAAGAAAAGTTTTCACAACAGAACACCATCCATTGTTTAGTATAAACCATACAACTGCTTTAAGGTATTAGCCTTTTGACTAACATATTTAACTAAATATACAATGTTGTATTCATTTTCCCATTTCAGCATATTTTACGTGACAATGGGTGAAGTGCTGAAGGAAGAATGAGGAGGAGAAGGAGAAGGAGAAGAAGGGAACGGAAGGGAAAAAAAGTATATTCAGTTAAGGTGTGGAGAAAATAATGATTAGTACTAATGATTTTTTTTCCTGCACAGTTAATGGCAACTGAAAATATTATCTATTTCTAACCCCAAATTATCATAATCCAATTATTTCCAATGTCAGAAAAAAAAAAAAAAAAACCATTTAGATTTGCCTGCCACCAAATTAGATGCTGCTGCTTTTATTTCTTTAGGAAAAAAAGCTTTGAAGGACAGCTAAGCCAGAGCTTAGGTCTGTTTCATTAGGCTACAACCCATAATAATCCATATAGTGCTGGAAGCAACCAATTCCATAACCAATTCTGTGAAAATTGTGTAGGAAAAAACAAACAAAAATAAGACATGCACTTGCTTTTTTCCCCCCAGGCATTTTTGGAAGTAATTATTATTTTTAAAATCATATTTTAATGACAGGTGAAGTAATTTACTTTGAACAAAATCCAGAACAAGGGATTAGATGTCCTTAAAGACAATTGGTTCCTGCTTGGAATGCACAGTAACGTTTAATGAAGTAAAGTTTAAAAACCTGTTGCCATGAGCCAAAAATACTGGATGTGAAAGCCAATGATTTAGGGGAGACAGGGGAAGAAGTGATTTGTTCCCCTGATCTGCGTCTTCGACGCCCAGTACCCACACCACTGGTATAATGCAGCCACTCTGGGCTAGACACACTCAGGGGGCTCTCTTCCTGGAAATGAGAAAGGGGGCAAAAAAACAGCAAAGCATGCAACGTTAGAGTCAGAGCTAAATGGTAAGAAAATAAAATATAGTTGCACTCTTTTCTAGATAGCTCGATTCTAACCAAACAAAACCCACCAGCAACTGCAACTATTCAGCTACTGGTTTTGCTACAGTTACAGTACGTCAGCAATATTAATCGTGATTTTTAAATTCTATGCGGAAATGAGTAAAGTTGTGTGTGTATGTGTGTGTGCATTTCAGGCATAAACGTAATACTTGTAAACATACATACAAACACATACATACATACACTTTTGCTGCATCCTATATCATTAATGCAATATTCTTATGAAATAAAATTAAAAACTCTTTGGAAATTAAATAGCGAACTTTGATAGCAGTAGCAGGTAATTTCTTAATGCTAAAGATATATTTCAGTAACTTTTTCTAATGTCAGTGAAATTTAGCCACATCGATTATTAGGTCAAGCCTCGTTCTTCCTTTAGTTTTAAGTGTAGATAAGTGAATCAAACCAGCCACCAGTAAAAAAAACCTTCCACATCAACAATGCTCAATACACACAGATCTCAATACAGTATTCCATTTGAAAGATATCAAGTATCTTAACACGAAGATAAAGTTCACAAGGAATATTTTTTTAAAAAAAATGAACAATTTTTGTTTATAAATGACAAAATTACAGATAATTTATGTTGAAACACAGACAGTAACTTAATAGCATCTAGAGAGAGTAAAAGTCTTTTTATCAAATTATTTTTTGTAACCAAAATCTTTTATTTTAAATGTTTTCAATATTTCTCTTTGAGATAGAAAGAATTTGACAATGTTAACAATGTTGACAGTGTTTAAATATATGTAAATAATGCCTTCAAAAGAAATGTAATATAGTGTAACAATATTTTCAAGCTTCCCATATTTAAGTTTCAAATAACTATGTTCAGTAAATTAAGATTTTAATTGGTATAGAACTAATAGAACTCACATGTATAAATCAAAAGCTAGAGAGGATAGGTATAATACTGTTATAGCAGATCTTTTTGCATCCTGAAAGAAAGCATGTTTCAAAAATATTCATATGTCATTAAAAATTATAAGCAGTTGAAATTTAATAAAAGTATTTATGCTATTACAGTAATACATTTTTCCATTATTGTAAGTGACAAATGTTACGGAAATATAGTAAAGCAAAGACAGATTACAGAATTTGCTTTCAACAGACCAGCTAATTCAGAAGCGTTCTTGTGTCAAAAGAATTCAGTGCAAATGCTAGATGAAAGATGGGAGGGTTCAAAATAACAAGACATACATTATATACGGCAATTGTTGAAAAATAGAAGTTTATGTAACAAGATTTCACAGTAAGTGACTTGTGAATCCTGATTCCCTGGAGCTAACACTGAATTGTCAATTGACAGAAGGAAGAGCCCCTACAGTAAGGATTTGGAGACATCTGCAGCAACAGTTACTGGCTTTAAAATGAATGTGTGCAATGCGTGTAAAGCACATTAAAAGGAGGCAGGGCTTTCATTTTGAAGCCAGTCACTGTCATCGTGGATGCCACTAAAGGTAGCTTACCTGATTACCAAAGACAGGATAGTTATGACAACAAATGCAAAGAGGAACATCAATTCTTCATATTTTTGCTACGTTTAAGCATCGTTTAAGCAATTATATCTCTGCCAAACTTGAGCTACTGCTCTTCTAATGGTTACCAATAGACTTAAAAGGAAGACAGAACTTGCACAAAGCAGAATATTTTTTTTAAAGACTGAGAGCAATCTTAAGACCTACAGCAGATAAAGGATTCAAGTCATGCCAGAAGAAATACCTGTAGACAATTTGGAATACTAAACACTTCTGCTGTGGAGTACAAAGCAGAAGCAAAGGAGATTTGCTGTCAAACCACTACTTTCAGATTATCTAATGTCTTATTTTTTTCCTAGATATACAATGCTAATTACTCTTAGCTGTTTGGGTTTTTTTTCCTCTTGAAGTCAGTTTTTGACCACTTGCAACTGCCTGGTCTACTCCCTGCAGTTTTCTTGGCAATATTTTTCAGAAGTGGTTTGCTACTGCTGTTTCCATGGGCTGAGAGAGAAGGACTGGCTTAGGTCAGCCAGCTGGCTTTGGGCCTAAAGTGGGACTAGAACTCATAAACTCTGGCTTTCTAGCCTGATGCCTTAACCATTGCACCAAACTGGTTGCAGCATTCCTACTTAAACCAGTTAAAAATACTAAAATTCAGTTATATAAAGTTGCCAAATGTTTTGGAATTATTGTTATATTAGTATTACTCTTTCCTCAGAATAAAAATGTAAAATATTAGCATACGGGATATGTTGTTCTTTAGATCTTTTTCTTCTGCCACTGAAATATTAATGATAGCAAATCTTTCTTCCCGAGTCATACATTTCATGTTACAATTTTTGCTAATCCACATTCCAAATGTCTAGGAGCATCTCAATTTTTTTATTGCATATAGAATCAGGATTAGGTTCTCTATAGGGTCACATTGCAGTTCTATAATTTAAAATTATTGCTGAAATTTATTTTCATTTATGGATTGCTTGTCTCTCCAATTTTTCTGGATACATTTCTGTCATCTTGAAGAAACTTATCATTCTGAATTTAAAATATTGTGAACTCTCAGCCCAATACTTGGCTTTCCTTAGTTTTGAGTTAAAATGGAACTGAGATAAGTATATATTTGGCAATGATTACCAGAAAAAAATTAGAACATCATCCAAAAAGGATGACAGTAATCTGTTGGGAAGAACTTTCAGTCTATTAATACTGCATTTCTGCCTTACTAGAGAGTGCTTAATTTGGCCGGATAAGATGCTGTGCCATCCCTATTTGATATTTTACACATTGTAATTCAAAGATTCTCAGCAGGTTATAATCATGTCATTAAAACATACACGGTACAAAAATAAATTAAGTAAGCAATTGTAAATAATCTTAAAAAGTTTAAACCAAAAAATAAATAAATAAATAAAAAATAGTAGAAATAATCAACCAAGCAATCAAGAAAAGTGACATCATCTCGACATAAAAAAGACTTCTGAATTTATTTTTCAAAACCTAATTAGGGACAAAGAATGGAGGGGAGTATAACCTTCTGGTCCAAGAGTACTCATGCCATACCTGGTGAAGGAAATTGAACAAGTTATGCATTTATTGCAGTGTTGCCTGTTTTATGCAGCCAGAAACACTGATTTAATATTCCTACTTTATCTATTTGTGCTAATAGGGCTCATGGCTGATTAGTTTCCAGAAATCTACAAAAGGTTTACTAATTCTGTTTTATAACTATTGTTCAGAGATATGTAGACTTTCTCTACACATATTTGATTTTCCCGTTGTTCCTGATTAAGTATATTATAATTAAGTAAACTGTATACAAGATTAATGTGGGAATGTGTGCACCATTGGAACACCTCAAAGACCAGGTTATGGATACACTGTTATGTAGTAAATCTATCTTTATGGTTGCTAGGAGTTGACAGCGATTTGATGGTAGGTGATCAATCAACTAATCACTGTAATACTAGTATGTTTTATAATTTTTCAGTACCAAAATCAATTATATTGATTAGTTGGGGAACAACTCTAATTTTTTAAAAAAATACTGGGATATCTAAACTTACTTCTGCTGATCCCATTTTTCTGGGTCTTGACAGGGGTGACTTCCTGTGTATATGAATTGGATCTGACACCATTGGCTTGAACATCATTATTGAACGATCCGTCTCATCTCTTTTATAAGCATGGGGGTCATCATCATTCTCATTTCTATGGGATGTTTGCTTTGAATCATCATTCTACAAGAAAACAGATATTTCATGTGATATAACATTTCGTCAAGCAAACTAAAAGCATCATTCCCTTGAATATTATATCATGGCCTTAGCTAAAAATGTTCAGTGTTGCGACTATGACACACTTACAATGTCATTCCCATTCAGTTATCAATCAAGTGATGTTAAGAGACATCACATGACTACCACTTGTGATTTTATTGCTACCTTCTCCATTGACTCTCCTTGTTGGAAGCCAGTTGCAAAACACACAAATGGAAATCACATGACCTCAGGATACTGTGACAGTAAATGCCCACCAGTTACAAAGTGCCCAAATCTCAATCACTTTACTGTGGGGACTTTGTAAATGCGAAAACAGTCAGGAAATTACTTTTTCAGTGCCATTATAACTTCTAATGCTCAGTAACCATGACAGTTGTTAAGCAAGTTCTATTATGCCTTCTCCATATTGAAAAGTACACTAAATCAAACATACCTAATAACAAAAGTATCAATTCTGTTATAACAGCACTCTAATTCAATTTGTAATGCAAATCCTTGCTAATTATCACTTAATAGACTGGCTTTTATTTTATATAATTACATGGAAAGAGTGTAATACTGTCTGACTTAAAAGTAGTTAAATACATCTCCAAATTATTTGGGAAGTTTCTAAATTTAAACCAAAAACTAGAAATTTTTAGTTAATCAACCAAATGCTGTTAAATAACATGAAAAGTGCCCTTTAAGTTTCATATGCAAAACATTTCTAGGAGCATTTACCTCCCGTGAAGCAGGTCTGTATCCAAAACCTGATGGTAAGTTTTTATCTTCTTCACAGCCTTTAGCTCCTGGACTAAAATGTAACTCTACATGGAAGCGTTCTTCTGATGAGACCTCCTAAATAAATGGATAAGTCAGGTCATATTCTGACTATATGTAATTGGATTTTCTCTTAAATTATTGTTTATTGTTTCCTTACCTTATTTGGATCTTCATACAGCATGATAACTATTTGGGTCATGTAATTGAGTTCACTAACAACATTAAGATAATCCATAGCTCTCTTCCACTGTTCATCTTTTGATGCCTTAGATGAAAAATGTAAATACCACTTGTTTAGTATTGTCTGTGTGCTGATCCCCCTTTATACCCTAATATTTAAACTAATTGTAAGTTGCAATCTTAAATGTATTTACAATATAGGTGCTCTGAATGTATCTTCAGTTGATATATTTTATAATTCAGTGTTATACATTAACTTATCAAGTGATGACAAGTAAAACATCAGAAAAATAAAGACACATTACTAGCCAGAAATTAATCCTAAAGCATTTACTTTTTGCATATAACTTTTAACTTATTAGCAAATCCATTAACATGCACACCAGACTATGAAACTTGTTCAACAAAACATGCCTTTAAGCCTTAGTTTAGTTTTATATATTAACTAGTATTTTCATATGTTTTAGAGCACAATGAAATCAGAAAAAGGTAACACGATTTTTGCAAAGTAATCAGTCAATGTTTCCATTACTGAAACAATTAGAAGTCAACTATGATGACTCTTTAGAGAATCTTTCAGGTTATTTGTGAAAGAAAAATTATTACTGAATAAATAGTGTATTGAGTTGGTTATTAAATGTATCTTTTTAATTTGTTTTAAACTATTTTTAAATTTTGTATTCTATGTATTTTTATCTTTGGCTGTTCACCACCTTGAGTCCTTCGGGAGAAGGGCGGTATATAAATTTAAACAATAAATAAATAAATAAATAAATAAATAAATAAATAAATAAATAAATAAATAAATAAATAAATAAATCCTCTTATCTTTGGTGATTCTGAAAAGGAATGCCATTGAAACCCTTACATCGCATAAAGAACCATAGCGAAGAGTTGAAAGCAATGAATGGACATGACTCTCACTGGTGAAATACAGCCTAGTTCGCACGTGACGTTCAGGAGACATAACCCCACTAGAATACCTAAAAATAAAATTGCATATGTGAGTAAAGGGAATCATACATTGCATATACTATTCAACAAACCTAAAAATTTAAAATTTCTAGATCTAAAATCTAAACATTAACTAACATTTTCACAGTTTTCTACTAATAATAATGAATTAGGCACACCGTTTAAGCTTCTGTATTAATTTTCTCCTATTCATGATTAATTAATTTAGGCATAAAACAATATATTTTTGTTTTTGTGCTTAAATTTTATACAGCCTTTATGAATCCATACTTATTTTAGACCTAAATCTCAAATTGAAGGAACTCTGGAATCTTAATCAGTGCTACATTTATGTTTAATAAAAAATAAACTTCACGCTCTGAATTATCTGAAGTTGAACCCTTGTTTTAAACTGCAGAATATGTTGTTGTTTGTATTTGATAATCTGTGCCTCCTTGATCAAAAATAAGAATCTTACCAGAACCTTTGCCTAGAAGCTAAACTGTGTGACATGTGAGATACTAAAATATAATTACCTTTGAAAATAACAGAAATTAAGTACAAGTGCCTCAATTTACCATGTTTGTGATCATATATAGATAAAGACCATAGGTTTTTTTAATGCTAAAATTATATAGACTTCACAGAAGGACTGGAGGCTATCATTTTAACTAAATATTTAGCTAAATTTATTGTTATATAAGGGCTTTAATAATGTTGAAAAAATGGTTTAAAAAACTTACAAAGGATGGAGTTTGTTAACAGTATCATCATCCTGAGTTCTCTGAAGATCAGACCGGATTTTCCTCAGTAGTGGATTACAGTAACCTTTAGCAATCTCTAATTTTTCGGCCTCAGTAATACCATATTCCTTAAGTGAAAAAAAATGTGAAAATAAACTTGGATACTCTTGAAAATTCCCTCTCAATCTGTAACTCAATTTGTTAGATAAGTACCTATTTCTACCTAAGCTCTTAATGAGGTAATTTAACTGTCACAGTAGTAATGGTCATAGGTATGAGCCTCTGATCCTTGTCCTGCTGCTGGATCTGCCTCTGGACTAAAAAAAAAAAACAACCCAAAACAAAAACACTGCAATTCTTTGTTAAGTTATAAAATGCTATTTTTCCTGAAGACAGGAAGGCATGTCAACTCAGAGAGCAATGATATAGACACGAACTCCTAAGATTAACCTACCCATAACACAGAATGGGGCCTAAGCAATGACAGCAGCAGTAAAAAACTTGTTTCAACCTGAGTCCACATAGCTTTGAGCAGGGCCATATGTTACTTAGTAGGACCATATATCAAAACAGGTGAGGCCACTTGATATGAACAAGCAGCCCCAAGCACATTTTTAAATACAGATTCCTCCAGAAAATGCATCCACTGGATTCACTAGATATATTTTTAAAGCCTTATTTTATTGCAGGAACAAAAGGTAAAGGATAAAATATTCGCTGGAGGGAGAATCAGTTATTTCCTCTTTACCTCTATACTACAATAAGGCTTTAAATCACCATTGGATGCAGCTGAGATATGTAAAATGGAACTTCTCTGTAATAAAGATGTTGTGGAGACAAGCTCATTTTTTGCAGACATTATGGCTAAAAACATGCCATTTTTTTGCTTAGAATATTACAGGGGATCGTTTATGTTCCATCATCATCATACCAGTATCATGAGGTGATAAAAGTGTTCCACTTCAATTCTTAAACAATTAAAACAAAATAATTGATTAAAATAGGGAGGGGCAAACCCATGAGAGGTGGGGAAGAGCTTTAGACAAAATGAGAGGATACCTGTCCCGATATGAGTCTCAATTTTGGTCACATTGGTTTCCTGATGCAAAAACACCATGGGGGGGGGGATTATAATATTGCCTATCTGCTAAGGTCCAAATATATTGCAGTTATATTGTTCCACAAATATTATTTTATTTTGTATTGTTATTTTGTTTATAACAACAAATTTATATTCCTCTTCTTCCTCTTCCTCTTCTTTTACTATTATAAACTTTTATTCATTAAACATGAAACTCAGTCAACTGAACATTTAAAAATGTATCACGAATATCGCTGACTGGATCTGATGGTTGATACGGGTTGCTGCCAGCATCCTAGGTATCAACCAAGTATCTTCTTAAAATGTATATTGTTCCGAGTATTGCAGTCTTTTGCAGCTCTGCTGGCGCTACAGCAGGAAGCTGAAACTTCTTGATGTATTTTGCAAAATCCTTGGCCATGGTACCAAGTGCCCCGATGACAGTGGGTATCATTGTTACATGTTTCATCCATAATCATATTGTTTCGATCGCCAGGTCGTAATATTTTGTGATTTTTTTCCAGTTCTTTTTCTTCGACTCTGGCGTCTCCTGGTACAGCGATATCAATAGATAGTACATTGTCGACAACTGTGATATCTGGCGTGTTGTATTCCAAATGATGATCCATCTGTATTCAAAAGACCCACAAGATCTTCACCTTATTTTCGACATGTGTCGTGTATATAAATATCAGACTCCTCAATTGAATAAGGTAAAGAGGTACTGCTCTTCAGTTTGCGATAGTTCATAAAAACTGCTTTATGAACTACAAATGCAGATCTGAGACAGTAAATTTAGTCATTTCTAATGACTGGATAACATAGCCATTTTATTATAATGAGAGTACTATGTAAGCGGCAATGTACATACCTGAGGGATCACAATATCAGCCAACGCCTTTGACAGTCTGTACAATTCCATTGTATTTTCTAGCTTTAAAGAGACATTATGCTGAACATCGTATTTTATGCAGTCATAGATGTCTGGGATTTTACTTATATCATATTTTCCATTCTTTGTTTTAAAGTCTTTTTCAAGCTTGGCCCACCTACGCAGCATTAGTTCCAATGTTTCACTGTGATAAAGTTGAATATCTAGTTGCACAATTATTAAAAAGTAACAATGAGAATTAATTAAAGTAAAATGAAGGGACGTTACTATAGACATTAAAGAAATATATTCACCCATTCCTTAAGCTTCAGAGCAGCCAGCTTTGCTTACAGCTTGGTTTTGTTTTATTTTTGTTTTCTTTTACACACGCACACACTGAAATGGTCTCCAATTTTGGTACTTAACTAAGCCTATTGCTATCTTCTTTCCTGTGCAAGGGTGATTGCTATTTTACTTACATAGCAATCTACATCAGTGAAATTAATTTGCTATTAATATATTAGAGTAGCTAACAGTTATTGGGCAAACTATTACAATTTTTTATTCTGAAAGTTGTTCCTTAATTAATAAAAAGATTGTCCTAACAATTTAATATTATCAATCCAGCCTGATCAAGCAAACTATTTACCTGCAAACTTGGGATCTTCCATTCGTTGTTTGATTTGAGATGTCAAACTCTGGATTAAGGAATATACCTTATCACATGTCTTAATAGGATTTTTTATCACTTGCATTGATTTTATCAGAGATATGCTGCCAGATGGTGTCAGCTGTAGTACCAGACCAAAAAGAAATATGTAAGCTATAATACTTATAGTCTACATGTATAGCATCTGATATCTAATCCCTGAAAAATATGTATTTTTAAGTGTGCTATCCTAAATGAGAAAAATTTATAATTTTTGTTTTGACTTATTATCTTTTAAACACAGGTAGTCCTTGAGTTACAACAGCTCATATAGTGACCGTTCAAAGTTACAATGGCACTGAAAAAGTGGCTTATGACCATTTTTCACACTTATGACCTTTGCAGCAGCCCCATGGTCTTGTGATCAAAATTCAAACACTTGGCAACTGCCTCATATTTAGGACGATTGCAGTGTTCTGGGCTGATGTAATCCTCTTTTGCAACCTTCTGATAAGCAAAGGCAATGTGGAAGCTATATTCACTTCACAACCATGATGGTAACTTAACAGCTTCAGTGATTTACTTAACAACTGTAGCATGAAAAGACGTAAACTGGAGTAACACTCACTTAACAAATGTCTCGCTTAGCAACAGAAATTTTGGGCTCAACTCTGGTCATAAGTCGAGGACTACCTATATACTACTCTAAAAATTCTTGGCTAAAAGAAATACTAATTTGAAATAATTACTATATCCAACAATTGTTTATTACTGTGTTTCCCCCAAAATAAGACCCTGTCTTATATTTTTTTGAACCCTGAAATAAGCACTTGGGCTTATTGCCATGCGCTCAAAAGCCCAGTTGGGCTTATTATCAAGGGATGTCTTATTTTGGGGGAAACAGGGTAGTTCTAGTTGACAATATCTGATTTAACTGATGTCCATCTTTGCCTTATTATCCATTAACACTCCTATTTAATATTTCAAATCATGTAACTACAGCTACGTATTAAAATATATTATTTAAGAACTCCAGAAGGCCATTTTGACCAGACAAATAAGCTTTAGACTAAGGCACATCATGAAATTTGTATTCCTCGTATTAGTAAATGATCTTTGGACGTACAACCTTTTTAGTTTCCTGATGTCTCAACAGCTTTCCATATGATCAACCACAGTACCCTTCTGGACTGTCTCCAGGGGATGGGTGGTGGTGGTGGTGTTTCTCCTTCTTCCTGAGGGGAGTTTGTATTTCTTTTTTCCCTCCCTCCCTTCTTCCATTTACACAGCCACACATCTCAAGTACATGACTCTGGATGTCTTACAACTTACAAACAGCCACAAACGTTAACAAAATGCAATATAAAAAAGACATGAAACTATATAAAGCATCCATGTAAACAAAATGTTAAACCTAATCAGCAATCAGATTTCAGAAATATGGATTCAAAAGCATACCATAGTTGATGGTATCAAAGGCTACCAAGAGGTCCAAGAATGAATGCAGAAGTCATCCAAACGTGACAACAGTGCTGTTTTAATTCCATACCCAAGTCTAAAACCTAACTGGAAGAGATCTGGATAATACTCTTCTTCCAAGGTTCTCTGAAGCTGTTGTTCAATGATCTTCTCTAAACATGTAAGGCTGGAGACTGAACAAAAATTGTCTAGTATGATTGGGTCTAATGGATGGCTTGTTAGGTGGGTGAAGCAGCATTTCTTTAAGAAGAATTCACCACAGCCAAGACTTGGTTAAATGTCACCTCTTAGGATGCAGGCAACCTGGGGACATGAATCTAATATACAGGCAGCAATACTCACACTGAAAAATCTGTCCATTTCATAAGGCCCAACAGGTTCACACTCCCATCAGATAACACAGGAAGACTGCACCTAGACACTCCACACGGCCCGTATAAAGGCTGGTGTCCAATTGGGAGTGGATTCAAGGAACTTTGTCCAACAGATGCCTGACATATTCCTCTAAATAGCCTTGTGCAACCTTTCCTGTAGTCTTTCACAATTTCAATTTATCTATAGAGTATTTTCTAACCTTTTCATAGTCCTCAGAAGTAAAGTCTCTATCTCTTTGGAGAATTTCATTAAGGCGTGCCTTCACACGATGTTGGCAGCTGCTAAGAGAGTCACTGTCACTGTCCAATAGACCATTCATATTAGCACTTTTGACCATCTGCACAAGTATAGGTGTGAGTTCCCCTTCCAATGCCAATAGACCCTGGGGAAAATAAAGTTACTGAATAGAAATCTTAAACTAAACAGAATATATAAATTCTATAAATAAGTCTTACCCACTATGAATTTGACAGAAGAACTGCATTACAACTTACACACAAATAAAATAAATAATTCTAAAACTGCCCAAATTCAAGTCCATTACAACACGATACCAAATATCATATTTATATTTGCATTGAGGAAATACTGTTTTAATCCATTATGGATTTATCATCTCTTCTTTTTATGTGATGATTCTAAGCTTGTATTATAATAGAGAGAGAGAGAAAGGGAGGGAGGGAGGGAGAGAGAATCCTGTTCAGTTTTTCTACACTATGTTTTGTTTCAGGTTCCCCTACAACTTCTTTTTTTATCTTTTTAATAAGTTAAAACGCTATAAAAATTATGTTTTGTCATAGAACCATTTTCTTCAGCTCCGTATCAATTTTGTTTCTGGGCACCATTTTCAACTGTTTAATTTGGCTTTGGGATCTGATTACCAAAATGAGGGGCAATATTCCAAGCATTTCAAACTGCTGAAGACTATTCAAACTTACAAACTGTTACACAATAAAAGCAGCATTAAGCAAAACAGAAACAAAAACAATCAATCGCAATTCTGTTCAACAATCTGCCACACTCATTATATACACGTTGTGCTAAACAATAAGATTGTCAAGTTTGGAGGTAACATATAGCATGAATTTAGCCATTGTGGTTTGTAAAATAAGGTTTGTAGCTTGCCATGAAGTATGAATTCAGCCAATTGTAACACAAATTAATAGACATAATATGTTGAATGAACAGCCACTGAGATTTTCACTACCATTTCTAAATCACTTCATTTTGATCGAAAGGCATTTTTTGAATTTGGTGATTGGATGTTCAAGTATTAATTTGCATATATGAATAGGACAAAACAGATTGAAAATTTTTAAAATGAATTAGTTCAGGAGAGCCAGTTTAATTAGTGGCTAAGATGCTGGAATAAAAACTGGGACAGAATGACTTTTAGTACTCCCTTAAGCATGGAAATTGGCTGGGTGACTGAGTCAATTACACTCTCTCAACTCAATTCACCTTACAAGGTGGTTCTTGTGGACAAAGTAGGAAAAGGAAAATCACACACACACACACACTATATTAACTAGAAATGGATATGCCATGTTACGTGATACATTGTGAAGTTTGTGCAAAGGATTTTGTGTGAATTAAAATTTCAGTCTGGTGGGTTCCAAGTTTCGGAAAGACTGGTTGAGAATATCTACAACTCATTATCTAATTTCAATTCAAAATATATTTCTAATAAAGACGTTCTATAAATCAAATTAAAAAATCTTGATAAAAATTGCTATCTAATTGCTATGTTAACTAGGCTCAGAGAAATACATGCATGCAATTTTTATTTTTCAGATCTATTTTTGTATTATATTGCATGCAATTCCTTATGCATACTAAGATATATTTTTCTACTCAATAAAGTAGCAATTTATACATTTCATGCAAATTGGCTGAAAAATGTTGATGCTGATTAAGGACTGATGAAGTAGTCCATTTTGCATTGAAAGAATGGAAGAAGTTATCTTTTCTATGTATAAATATAAAAATGCAAAGGAACTGAACTCTTCCTGCAAGTAACCTATACACATTTCATATTTTTTGTTGACGTTATACTACCTTTGCAAAAGCTGCCGCTGTCATTTGAACTCTTCCTTCATCAGATGCATAGATTTTGAGATCATGCCGATAGGTACTATGCAATCTAAGTAGACCACATCCTGGAAATCCTGCATAGTCACCTATCAAAGCAAAAGAGTGAAGTTTCTCGTTTGCTTCCTTAGATCTTCTCTTTTCATAGATATGGCTTCCAGCCATTAAAAAAACACAAAAAAAACAAGATACCTTGTCCACCTGGATACATACATCGGAAAGCTCTTCCTAGTTCCTCTGCCTGAACTCTACCTGCAGGTGTCAATTCTCCTCCCCATTTGAGAACTAAGAGTAGAGATGGCTCTTGTTTGCGGTTATCTAAATACATACAAGGCAAGTAAAAGATTTTTTTTTTTTACTTATGTTCAAAAGGTAAGGTGAAACCAATGTTACTTTTCTACAGGGATAATCCAAAGAATATTGATATTAATTCTGTATGCTGTAATGAACTGAATTTGATTTTGACACAGCAGTACTTTATGCTATATGGAAAATTATTCTGAATTAAAGGAATGAAGGGATGTTATCTGATGCATGCAGAAATAAGTAAAAAGCAATACTGAAAATCCTATACAGAGCTACTCAGAAATATGTTTATAGATCTTCAATGATCTTATTTCCTATATATTTATTTAGAATTGCAGTTTGATTATATTAGATTTTGATTATAAAGTTGCTTTTTGGCTTCTAACCAAGATGAAGAAAATATTATAAACTGAATTAATGTTTTGATATTAATCAATTCAATATACCTATTGATCAATTCAAGAATAATCAGATTGGCCCTAACCCTGTTGACCTTTCACAAGACTCTAAAGGCATAACTGCATTCCTAGGATTAAATAAATAAACTAATTAATGCAAATTAGTTCCTAAAAATAACCAAAATACCTTCTTCTTCACTAGATGTTTTAGGACAACCATGAGGAAGATACGTCAGCTGGACTTTTCGATTTATGCCAGAAAAATGTCCATACCTACAAGCAGCAGTGAAAATATTATAGATCACACAATACTGGTAAAGGAAATACAACAGATCAGATGAACTGATAATTTAGGATATTACAATACAGCTATAACGAAGAACCGATGGATTTTAACTATATTTTACTATATGGAGAGAAAGCAACCATGTTTACTGTTCAAATTTTTAACCAAAACACCAACAAAAATGTGCCACCCACAGATAAGACAACTGTATTTTTTTAACCATGTTTTATTTCGTCTGTACTTTATCATATATACTCATGGAAAAATCTATCTGTGATAAACTAAACCTGATTTTTTTAGATGCATTTTGGCAACTAAAATTCTTCCTTATCTGTGGGCTAATTGTCTTATATAATTAGCAGAGATCAAGAAGAGCAATAAAACGTATTATCTTATCTAGTTTTCTGTCCATCCTTTACTAATGTAATAATAATTAACATAATTGAAATAAACTGGCCTCATAGAAAAAGATTTCATGCATGCAGAAAAAGTTTAATTAATGAGTGTAAAGTATATGTATACAGGTAGTCCTCGTGTTATGACCGTAATTGAGCCCAAAATTTCTGTTGCTACATGAGACAAATTTTGCCCCATTTTACAACCTTTCTTTCCACAACTGTTAAGTGAATCACTGCAGTTGTCAAATTAGTAACACGGCTGTTAAGTAAATCTGTCTTCCCCATTGACTTTGCTTATCAGAAGGTTGCAAAAGGGGAACATATGACCCTGGACACTGCAACCATATGAACAAGTTACCAAGCATCTGAATGTTGATCACATGGCCATGGGGATGCTGCAATAGTCCTAAATGTGAAAAACGGCCATAAGTCATTTTTTTCAGTGTAACTTCAAACAGTCACTAAACAGATGGCTGTAAGTCGAGGAGTACCTGTATAATATGGCTTAGAAAGTATTGCTGTTGTCTGATTCAGCAGAAATCTCAAATTAAAATGGGGAAGGAAGAGTGCAGGACTTCTTTAAAGTAACCATATATTTCTGCAGGCTTCCAGACAAGCTTGAAACAGATGCAATTGCTTTAAAGAATCATACTAAAGATGGCTACTTTAATAAATGACCTCCTGTTTTTCTGCTCACAGAAAAGGCGTGAGTGTCTGCAAAAAAGGCGTGATTGTTCTAAAGAGGTCCTGACCTCTTGCACATTCTGAAACACATATTCCATCACCTATCTCACTTTCTTGTTAAATATATCCCACTCTGAAAATCCAAACAAGTTTTTAACTTTGCTTTTATATTTTGCTCAAAACAGAAATGGGAGCCCCAATTTTGAATGTCAAGCCCGAATTGATTGGGGTGTGGGATTGTTTGTATCCTTGGACATCCTAGTGTGAATTCAGCTTGACACAGCTTGGAACTGGAGGGGGATGGAACGTTCAGGCAAAACATCATTCCTAACTGATGAGTCAGCCACATTCCACCGTCTGGCTGGCCGGAGGAGAAGGAGGAAAGATGTCACTGAGCAACCAGCTCCCATCTTGGTTGGACAATGTGACCAATGTTTTGGAAACTTGAGAAACTGAAAACATATACTGAAATGAAAAGCCCGGGAATGTTAGTACTGGCTTTTCACCAGTTAGTGCCAATATGATGTACTGTATCTAAATAAATTTGTACTTTGAGAAAAAGGAATGCCTCAGAGTTCAATTTATGAAGGAAGCATTACTTGGAACCTGACATTGAAAATATCATGATTACTCCAAAAGGAAGGCTACCATGAAATGAAATTAAGAGGTTGACCCTGATCCTTTAAAGCAGTGGTCCCCAATCTTTGCAGCCTGGCGGCCCGGATGAGCAAAGGAAAGAGCAACTGGGCCGCACAAGCGGAGGGCCAGCACACACACATGTGCTCACACTGTTGTGCTTGCGCAAGTGGAACTAAACTGCGCACATGCACCATCCTGCCACTTGTGTGAGTGCACACATGTATGCCGGTTTGCCTCTCACCTGGCCCAGTTCTGAATAGGCCACAGCCTGGAGGTGGGGAGCCCTGCTTTAAAGGAACACTAGAATGAAAAAAAAAATCTGCTTTCTTTATCATCGTCTCAGTGAATCTAATACAACCAACTTCCTTTCAGAAAAATAAAGCAACAGTCAGAATTAGGTTTAAATTAGCAACTGATCTAACAAGGTAACTTGAACTACCGTATTTTTCAGACTATAAGACGCACTGGTGTATAAGACACACCAAGATTTCAAAGAGATAAGTAAGAAAAAAAAAGGTTTTGGCTCTCCCCGGCCCCCAGGAGCATTCTCTAGGCCTCCCAAACCCTCTGCGCACCCTGTTTTTTGCAAAAATGGGCCTGTTTTTCAAAAAAATGGGGCTGTTTTTCGTAAAAATGGGACAAGGGGAGTGGAGCTTCTGTAGGCCAAAAATAGCTGTTTTCAGTGTATAAGACACACCAACATTTCTACCCTCTTTTGGGGGGGAGGGGAAGTGTGTCTTATACTCCAAAAAATTATGGATGAAGGTGATCTTTACATAGTCGTCTTAAAATGTGTTTTTATTACATCAAAAAACTTGAAATAAAATACTTACATCTCCAATACAGTCTTTAACTGTTCAAGTTTAGATTTGTTTTCTTCAATTTCAGAGTCATTATTCTGTCCTAGCTCTATTAAGAGCTGTCTTGCAATATCAAGTACTTCCTAAAAAACAGCGGTAATACAAGCAGTTCATGAAAATGGATAATTATACAAGTGTCTAGAAAATATTTTTTTAAAAAGAAAAAAAAAGAAAAGAAACCTTACCTGTAGCTGCCTAGGCTTCTTCAGCTTTAACTTCCCAGACTTATATCCATTGCATTTTTCAAAAAGATCAAAAAACCTTTAAAAGAAACAGAATGATTAAATTATTTCACCATATAATCAGATACACATTCTAGCATTAGCTAGTGATAATGGCACAACTATCAACTTCCCATGAATTGACTCATGGTATCTGTTTCATTTTTTTAAAAAGATATTTGCTGAATACTGTCTCATACCAGAATTAGGATTACCTGAAAATTCAGTGAGCTTTATATTTATAAACTTTTAAAGAAAAGTTCAATTTTTTTTAAAAAAAACCCTTCCTTCCTTCCTTCCATATGGCAGTCCATCTCATCATGATGACTTTTAGCAATAATTAAAAACAGCGTTGCAACATAATAAGCACATAATCCATGGGTAAAACCATCCCACAGGCTGTACCACATTCTGACCCCCAATCCCAATGACATAGCCAACTGTTCAAGACTTATAAAAAGTAAACAGGCTTAGAGCTAATCTATGCAAATCTGGGGGATGATATGCCAAAGTGTGTGAGCCACCACAGAAAAAAGTGTCTCTCTGGGTCCCACCAGATGTAACACTTTAAAATGGAGTCACAGCATGCCTCTTCCACCAGATTTGATAGGAAAGGTAAACACAGTTGGTGAGAGGTGGTCCCCCAAATAACCTATCCCATGCTATGATCTAAGTACCACCACCCTTATCTGAACCCAGAAGCACAATGGCAACCAATGCAACTCATAGAACAGAAATGTACCAGTCAAGGAGCACACATAAATGAAGATGAATATATATGTCCCAGGATAATGTGGCAGGATTCAATCTGGATCAGTCAACGGGACCAGAGGTTTTGTCTTCCGAGCTTTTGGACTCTTGCTGGAGTCCATGGTGAGTCATCCAGATTGGATCCGACACATAATTGCCCACACTGCATTATGAACCCACAGTTTCCAGGTGCTCTTCAAGAGCAGCTCAATGTAAAGTGCTTTGCAATAGTCTATTTGGGAGACAACTATGGTATGCATGACTGTGAGCAAAACATTTCAGTCCAATAATGGTTACAGGTTGTGCATAACAGAAAGCTGGGCAAAAGCTCTCCTGTCCGCAGTTGCCACCTATTCCTCAAACAGGAAACACTGACCAGAAAGACATCCAAACTGCATTGCATCTGTTTGAGGGTACTGCAATACCCTCCAGAACTAAAGATGGAAAACCTTATATCTTGGAGGTTTTAAAACCAGAACCACTCAGTGCGCTGGGTTGAGTTGAAGCTTGTCCTTCCTCATCCAGACCACATAGTTTCCAAACATGGAGTCAGAATCTCCAGGGTACTGTTGGGTCATCCATAGGTAGAGATAAATGATATGATATGATACATATACTGTATAACTGATGATATCCTCAGCCCATACCATCAGATGACCTTAACCAGTAGTTTCATGTAGATGTTAAAAGGAGCAATCTGACCATGACAGAAGAGCAATAAAAGTCTCCCCCAACTCCAGTTCATGTTGCTACTGCTTCAGCAAGAAAATCACAGATGTGTGACCATTGCCATGAATTGGGTCCTTGATGACTTGTATCATCCCTAAAGCTATCACAGTGAACATGAACTACCATGCTACCTCACACTCCATCCCGAGTTTTTTTTAAAAATTTAAATCAAGCAGGTAAGGTAGGAAGATTAATATTAACAATCCCTAATGATCCCTAGAACCCAATAAGCAGGGCCTTGCATTCAATAATTTATGAATGCCACCAATCTTGGATAACCATAGCCCCTCCTCCACCTTCTGTCCTTGGTTCTTGACTGGTGGCACAAAGTAAAATCTGTGTGGGTGCATCTTCAAGAAAGGAACATCTCCCTCAGATCCCATACAGGTTCTAATATTAAACACCACGTCACCCCTCTTATTTGTGATAGATCACTGGTGAAGGAGGCCTTACTGCAGACTGAAGTCTGATTCAGAAGCAGCAACCAAGTCACGACCCCTGAAGGCCTGTTGATCAGAAAATGGGGTCAAACAGTGTGTGATAATGTAACACCTGTAAGAAGCATCAGGGCTATGTTTCCCAAGTAAGCCCCCTCCCACTATGCCTTCCTCATCCATTACCATAAACATCTTCTAGCCTACCCTTAACACACACACCCCAGATCCCTCCTTCTCCCCCAATTCACTGGCCCATCTCTGGATTAAAGAGTCTCAATCATGTCACAAATCAGGAAGTCCATCCCCCCAGGACACTTCTATTCATGCCATCAGCTTCTCTAGCAGCCTTAGACCACACATTTCACATAAGAATTTCATCAAATTTAGAAATAAATACCTAGGGGGATTTTCCCAATGTGAGGTCCCTCAGTTATGATTAAAGTATAATCCCTAGGATTCCAAGTCAGCAAGCAGAAGTAACAGTCCCAACATATGTGGAAGAAGACACTTGTTGTATATTGCCTCTTAGTTCAAACCTTAATACTAAATTACAAAAAAGTATTCAACTTAAATATTTCACTATTTCTTTTTATCACCAGATACTTACTTTTGGTGTTTAACTTCCATTTTCATTTTTTGCTTCGGTGTCCGATCTCCATGCCGTATTACAGCAATGA